GGTAAGAAGGACGGGTCGCCATGAGGTACAAAGGACAGGTCGCCATGGGGTACAAAGGACAGGTCGCCATGGGGTACAAAGGACAGGTTACCATGAGGTACAAAGGGGTAGGAAGGACAGGTCGCCATGGGATACAAAGGGGTACGAAGGACAGGTCGCCATGGAGTACAAAGGGGTACGAAAGATAGGTCGTCATGGGGTACAAAGGGGTACGAAGGACAGGTTGTCACGGGGTACAAAGGGGTACGAATGACAGGTCATCACGGGGTACAAAGGGGTACGAAGGACAGGTCGTCACGGGGTACAAAGGGGTACGAAGGACAGGTCGCCATGGGGTAAGAAGGACGGGTTGCAATGGGATACGAAGGACCGGTTGCCATGGGATACGAAGGACCGGTTGCCATGGGATACGAAGGACCGGTTGCCATGGGGTACGAAGGACAGGTCACCATAAGGTACGAAGGACGGGTCGCCCCGGAGACCAAGGACAGGTCGCCCCGAGGACCCAAGGACAGGTCGCCCCGGGGACCCAAGGACTGGTGGCCACGGGGACCGAAGGACTGGTGGCCATGGGATACGAAGGACAGGTCGCCATAAGGTATGAAGGACAGATCACCCCGGAGACCAAGGACAGGTCGCCATGGGGTAAGAAGGACGGGTTGCAATGGGATACGAAGGACCGGTCGCCATGGGATATGAAGGACCGGTTGCCATGGGGTACGAAGGACAGGTCGCCATAAGGTACGAAAGACAGGTCGCCCTGAGGACCCAAGGACAGGTCGCCCCGAGGACCCAAGGACAGGTCGCCCCGGGGACCCAAGGACTGGTAGCCACGGGGACCGAAGGACTGGTGGCCACGGGGACCGAAGGACTGGTGGCCACGGGGACCAAAGGACTGGTGGCCACGGGGACCAAAGGACTGGTGGCCACGGGGACCAAAGGACTGGTGGCCACGGGGACCAAAGGACTGTTGGCCACGGGGACCAAAGGACTGGTATCCCCGTGGACCAAGGCCTAATTGCTATGGGGACATGTTATCCTCATGAGGATAACGTTAAAGTGCTCAGGAGAGCTACCATCCAGCTGTCACTGATCAGATGTTTTTTAATTGGGAAGCTGTGATTCTGTTAAGCTCGATTGGTAGCAGAGTTCGGAACCGCGGTTCTAAAAGAACCAGACCAGTAGGAATGGGCCGTCTGGAACATAAGGAACCATAAGCTACATTAATAAAGATCATTTTGTCCTCAGAGCCCTAAAATAACACTGAAAGGCTCTAAAGTCCAGGTGAACTACCAGGAGTTTGGAACTTTAGTGAAACCAAATAAACAAGTCTGAGAAGTGACATTATTCAAAAGAAGCAAACAGGGAAAAGCCCTCGTTATGAATGAGAGTAAAGCTGACATGGTCCATCTGTCCGTCAGCGCTGTTAGCTTTTTCATTCAGGAAGCAGCAGCAGAACGTCTCTGTGCTTTCACAGCACTTTGTTATAAAACAACTGAATGATATAGATGATTATTGAAGTTATTCAATGAGGATCTTTAGAAAAAAGCTTTTTAATGTTGCTAAGTAAGCTGCTTCAACTTTTCTAAATCTCAGCGGCTCTGGATTTATTTCATTTTAATAGAATGTTGTCCTGATCGGTCTGATAACTGACAGAAAAAACAAGCCTTTCTGTAAATTGGCTTATAGAAACACTTCTGTTTATAGAAATTAATAGTAAAAGCATTCTGTTTGAGTGATGTCCCTCCATCAGACTGGTTCTGATATTTTACTCTGCAAAATGAGTGGTGAAAGTAGTGAGGATTTATGCTGATATATTGGGTCGGTATTGGTACCGGTCGAAAAAGTTCTATGAAACGCTCCCAGAAATAAGCTCTAGAACACAAACATGACAAATAAAGAAAGGGTTGGGTGCGTTTACAGAAGGTGCAGGTCAGCATGTCAGCTTTTAGGTTGTAGCCTCCATCAGCGGGTCGCAGGTGGATGGGTTGGTTGGTTGGTTAAAACGGACCCACAGTGCCGGTTTCCTGGGCTGTTATGAAAGAGGAGGGTTTTCTCTGGGTTCTTCTGGATCCGATGTCCAGCTCTCTATTCTCTGTTCTTAACAGATCTTCCTTCTGTCCTTCAGATCTGGAAAAGATGTCGCTGAGCAACGGTCCGGAGAATGGAAATCCTGGGATGGCGACTCAGATGGACCCACAGGCAGCTGCTTCAGCGCCGCCAGAGAGCCGCTCCTCCTCATAAAGGCCCATTGGACCCGTAGAGCTTTGGACAAGAACAGAAGCCATTCTGGGACAATCTGAGGGGGGGATGGGGGTCTGCTCAGTTCCTCTGGTGAAGGCCAGCGTGTTCTTCTGGATCCTGGGGGGTGGTGGGGGGCGGGGCCTCTTCCAGGCTGCTGACTGAACTTTGATGCAGTTTTTTTCTTGCCTTCTTGGCTTTTCTTGACTTTTTAAAGTAAATAATCATAAAGGAAGCATGATGCAGATTAGAGTCTCTGACAACCTCACTGAGCGTCCGTCTGTCCTAAACGTCCTTTTCTCTCCAGCGTCCATCTGTCCTAAATGTTCGTCTGTCTTAAACATCTGTCTGTCCTAAATGTCCATCTGTCCTAAACCTCCTTCTGTCTTGAACATCTGTCTGTCTTAAATGTCCATCTGTCCCGAGCGTCCGTCTGTCCTGAACGTCCATCTGTCTTAAACATCTGTCTGTCCTAAATGTCTGTCTGCGTCCGTCTGACAGGGTGTCACCGTATCACAGCTCACAGACGTGTTCACATCCACATCCTGTTAGTAGTAGACGTAGAAGGCCGTCTTTCTGCTGACGTCGGGCCCTCATGAGGCCCCTCTATGGGTCTGTGGACCCCGTCCCAAAGGAAGCATCCCACCTCCTTCTCTGCTCTGTATTCTGCCAGTCTTTTTATTATCTGCCTGCTTGTTTAGACTAAAATAAACAATTTATTTGTCAGAACTCTAACAGCCTAACAGTATTTTGTCACTTTATTGTTTTGACTCTTTAAAAAGGATGAGGCTGTTCTTCAAGCATTTAGGGAAAGTTTGTCTCACTGGTTTGCTTTCATTTAAAGGAAAAGTTCGCTCATATTCAGAATTCAAACTTCTGAAAGTACTTTAAATATGAAATTATTCCATCCTGTTC